TCCTCCCTCAGCCCACCTGGGTCCTCCCTCAGCCCCGCGGGTCCTCCCTCAGCCCCGCAGATCCTCCCTCAGCCCCGCAGATCCTCCCTCAGCCCCACCTTCGTCCTCCCTCAGCCCCCCAGATCCTCCCTCAGCATCCCTCCCCCCTGGATCCTCCCTTAGGACCCCTGGGTCCTCCCTCAGCCCTCTTGGATCCTCCCTCGGTCCCGCGGGTCCCCCTCGACCCCGCCTGCCGGCCCTGGTGCGCCCCGTAGGAACGGAGGTCACTGCCGCTCGGCCCACCTCGGTCCTAGTAAGCCACAGCGTCCCACAGACCACGCCCAAGCCCGTGATTGCGTCACACAGCGCCGGCCCCGCCCAATGGGGGTATATCTTCGTGCCTCGCCCACTCTTGCCTCGCCCCGCCGCGGTATACGTCATACCGCGCGACACGGCTTCTGCCACTGACGTCGTGGGCTGCGCGCCGCAGCATGCCAGGCGGTGAGTGTGCCGTGAGTTCATGTATGTCTTCGTCCTTGTCTTAGCTTCTTCCTACCTGAAAGTCCGGACCGCCTGTCCACAGGCCCCTCCGCAGCGACAGAGGCGGCCGCAGGTTGGCACCTCGTGTGGCCGGGAGCAGAAACGGGCGCTGTACCTGTCCTGGGCTCCTCTCCCCGTGGAGTCGGGAGGGAGGGAGGCAGGGAAGGGGACAGGGGGCTGCATCTGTCCTGGGCCCCGTGGGTTCTAGCGGGAAGGGAGAGGGAGCTTCCCCCGAAGACCCTCCTGGACCAGCCGCAGGCTCCTGTGTTGGTGAGGCTGAGAAAGAGGGATGTGGGCACAGGACACGGAGCAGGATTTCCATTTTAGATGCAGCAGGACCTGTCTTCAGGTCCTTCGTTGGTGTGAGAGATAGGGGTACGCCCGAGGAAGCTGGGCGCTCGGCCTCCGTGCAGCCTCATCTCCTGGAATCTGAGTATTGGAAACTGGGCTTTTACCTCGGACACCACAGCACAGCCTCCCATGGGAATCCAGGTCACAGCAAAGCAGCCCTGGGCCTCCATTCTCCTGTAAGCAAGCATGACGATCCTCACCTCACTGGGTGTTTATGAAAACTAGCAATGACCTTAGAAAGCAAGGCATGAGCCGGATGTGATGGCTCACGCCTGTAATCCCAGCACTTTGGGAGGCCAGGGAGGCAGATCATGAAGTCAGGAGATTGAGACCATCCTGGCCAACATGGTGAAACCCTGTGTCTACTAAAAATATAAAAATTAGCTAGACATGGCGGCACGCACCTGTATTCCCAGCTACTCGGGAGGCTGAGGCAGGTTAATTGCTTGAACCTGGGAGGTGAAGGTTGCAGTGAGCCAAGATTGGGCCCACTGCCCTCCAGCCTGGTGACAGAGGGAAACTCCATCTCAAAAAAAAAAAAGAAACAAAGGCATGAGCCATGAGCCCAGCTCATTTTTGAGGCTGCAGTCCATTCAGAGAGGTGGGACGGCCAGAACAGACAGCCTAGGCCCTGCTGCAGACTGGCTCAGAATCTGGGAGTAGTAACCAACTTCTGCTTTTGGAAACACCACTACAGGCGGTTCTGAGAAGTCCAAGGGTTACTGGGAGAGGTTGGTGAGTGACATGGAGATTACATGTGTCTTGGAGGTATACTGGGGTCTGTGGCTACATCCTGGGCTGGGATTTGATGAGAACCCATTAGGTGGAAGAACCTTTCTTTAAAAAAAGGTCTCTCAATTCCATGCTTAGCAGGTTGCACGCCAGGGCCTGTACTGACCACATCCACGTGCCACTGGGGCTCTGAGGAGGAATGGCGGCAGTGGGCAGCCTGCTTGGGTAAGCATGAACTTTCAGGTCCCTGGGGATTGCTGTTAGGGGCACCCCAGGGAACTGCTCTCTTCAGCAGGAAACAGTAGTTCTAAGCCTCCCTTGTCCCAGCTATTGTCCACTGTCCCCTGTGCTGGAAGCCTCATGCCCTTGCTCAGCCTGGCAGCCTCTTCCTGGCTAGGGAGCCAGAGTGGCTCTCACCACAGCCTGCGGCTCCTCAGGAAACCCCTAGGCTCATCCTGGCATGTGCCAGCTCTGGTAGCTGTGGCCTGGCAGTGCCCCATCACGGCCAGCCTCAGTCATGTTGGGACTCTCTGCTGCGGCAGTGTTGGCTGACCAGCACTTGCATGTTTATCTGCAGCCTGCTAAGATGCAGCGCTGTGAAGGCCACCGGGCCTGCACTCCGCTGCCTGCATACGTCCTCCTGGCGGGCTGACAGCAGCAGGGCCTCATTCGGTCGTGTGCGCCGCCAGGCCTATGCACGTCTCTATCCCGTGCTGCTGGTGAAGCAGGATGGCTCCACTGTCCACATCCGCTACAGGGAGCCACGGCGCATGCTGGTGGTAAGCTTTCCTTGCCAGGTGCTTCCAGGTGCCAGGCTTGGGGCGGGGCTGTGGTGGGAGTGCTGGTGGCCAGTCGCCTTAGGAGGGAGTGTGGCTGTGGTCACTGTGCCACGTGACAGGTGTCGGGGGAGCAGGTGGCTGTTGGAGGAGTGGAGGAGGGTGACATCCCAAACTGCCTCTAAGCACCAACATTAGATAGGACTAACCACTAGTGTGGTTTTTTGTTTTTTGTTTTTTGTTTTTTTGAGACAGTCTCACTCTTCCACCAGCGCCAGGCTGGAGTGCAGTGGTATGATCTTGGCTAACTGCAACCTCTGCCTGCTGGTTTTAAGCAATTCTCCTGCCTCAGCCTCCCGAGTAGCTGGGACCACAGGCACGTGCCACCACGCCCAGCTAATTTTTGTATTTTTTAGTAGAGACGGTTTCACTATGTTAGTCAGGATGGTCTCTTGACCTCGTGATCCACCCACCTCGGCCTCCCAAAATGCTGGGATTATAGGCGTGAGCCACTGCACCCGGCCTGTGTTTTTATTTTTAAATTTATTTTTTGGGACAAGGTCTCACTCTGTCAACCAGGCTGGAGTGCAGTGGCACAATCTTGGCTCACTGCAACCCTGACTCTCTAGGCTCATGTGGCTCTCCCACCTCGGCCTCCCCTGTAGCTGGGACTGCAGGTGCATACCACCATGCTTTGCTAATTTTTTTTAAAGACTTTTTTGTAGAGATGGGTGTCTTTGCGTTGCCCAGGCTGGTCTTGAACTCCTGGGCTCACGCAGTCCTCTCTCCTCAGCCTCCCAAAGTGCTGGGATTACAGGCATGAGCCACTGTTCCTGGCCTCGTTGGTTTTTGTAAACATCAAATCTGGGGAAAACACAGAACAATTTATTTTAAAGATTGAAAGCTTTGAAGAGAGAAACCAATAGAATGTTTGAAAATTAAGCTAGCGTAGGATGGAAGACACAAGTTGAGAGGAAGGCCTTGGGCTGTCACCTCAGTAGCTCTCGAGGTCCCTCTGTCCACGTGGACGAAACTTGGTCTCTCCGCTGCAGATGCCCATAGATCTGGACACCCTGACTCCTGAGGAGCGCCGGGCCAGGCTGCGGAAGCGTGAGGCTCAGCTCCAGCGGACAAAGGACTACGAGCAGGAGCTCAGCGATGACTTTGATGTGGAGCGCTACCGACAGTTCTGGGCCAAGACCAAGAAGTGACTGTGGCTCCAGCCACACTGGGACATTGCTAAGATGGGAGAGCAGTTCTTAAATCACACGCTGTCAAAGCTGCCACATGGAGTCTGTGTCTGTGTCTGTCTTCTCACTTGGTGTGTGCCCCAGCGTGGCAGCTTGCCCCTGCAAAGCACGAGCTCAAGCATAGAGAGGGCTCCGTGGATGAGCGGGGTGAGGGTTGTGGGTTTTGGACACTGCTCTGGGGCTGTGGCACACAGACAACCATGTGGGCAGCACCCAACACCAAGCTCTGCCTTCCCAGCCTCAGAGGCACCAGGGCAACAGCACAGTGGGCCTCCGGTTGGTTCCTAGGAGGGGCTGGGTTTTCTGGGCTCAAGGCATCAGCTTCAGTGGGGCAGCCCTAGGACCACCCTTCCCCGTGGACATAGCCTGCAGCTCCCGCCCTGGCCTGCATTCCCACACTGCTCCCGGGAAGGTTCTGCCCTGGGAGGGTCCCCAGAGGAGCAGCTAGCCCTGCTTGTCCGTGACTCCTCATGGGTCATGGGTTATGCAGAGCACTGCAGTTACACACAGCTCAGGGGGATCCACAGACCCTGCTCCATCTGTCCAGAGGCTGGTTTCACTCAGAAGCAGTTCCTGCTGATGTGCAGGTCCCTTCCACGTGCACACCAGCCCGGGTTTCACTCAGAAACAGCTCCCGCTGATGTGCGGGTCCCTTCCACGTGCACACCAGCCTGGGTTTTGGACAGCTCAGGGCCCGGGCTGCTTCCTGTCCCTGTCTTGGGGTGTTACTGGGTCCCAGCTGGCAGGCTATCTCTCTGACACCTGGTGTCCAACAGGAAGTTCTTGCAGTGGTGTTCTGGGATTGCCGGGGAGGTGGGAGTGTGCTCTGCCATGGCCCTGCGATGACTGCTGCCAATTGAGGAGCTGGGCAGTGTCCCCACATCGCAGGCCTTTCCCTTCCCCTTAAGTTTGTTCCTGGCCCTTTGCTCATCCCTCTGACCTTCAGCTGTGCTGAGGAGAGCCTACAAGGGATGTCCTGTGGCTCTGTGGCCCGGCAGTGCCTGACCTCACGTGGATTGGCTGTGTGGCTGCCTGGGAAGCGATGTCCTCCGGCCCTGTGGCCCGGCAGTGCCTGACCTCACGTGGATGGGCTGTATGGCCACCTGGGACTCCAGCCCTGTGGCCCGGCAGTACCTGACCTCACATGGATGGGCTGTGTGGCCACCTGGGACTCCAGCCTTGTGGCCCGGCAGTGCCTGACCTCACATGGATGGGCTGTGTGGCCGCCTGGGACTCTGCCTTGCAGGGTTACTTCCTGAGCAGGTTCCATGGAGCCCCATCTCTGAATTTGTGGCCTCAATCCCTGTGGCATATAGAGCTGACTGCCTGGCCGTACTGTGTACTCACTTGGCCCTTCCTCCACTGTACCCAGCCTTCTCCTGCTCTACTGGACTCCCCTGGGGCCCCCACCACCCCTCTGCTCCCTGACCTCCACCCTCCTGGGTCTAGCTTCACTGCTGTCTACATAGAGGGCACCACCCAGCAGGCACAGGCCATGCCACCTCCACCCCAGTGACCCCTCCTGTGGCCTACGGCTTGTCAGGCTAACGGGCTCAAAACTGACCTGGTCTCTTCCCCACAAACCTGGTCCTCGTGTTGCCAAATGGCTGCATCCTCACAGCTTCCCAGACCGGCGCCTCAGAGCTGTCCTGGACTCCTGCCTGATGTCCACCTGGCCCTGCTGTCCCTTCACACCTGACATCCGGTCAGTGGTCAGACTCTACAGCTGGACCCTGCCACATGGGCCAAGTCCACCCTGGCCCGGCAAGGCGTAACAGCACCCAGGAGACGATGCCCTCCACCCAAGGGTGCCTTCCCAGGAGTTGGCCAGTTGCCCTCAGTGTGCCTGGATGTGGGCTGCTGCTCTGCCCTCTCTGTGCACCTGCTCCGTGATGTGAACTCAGGCAGCGCCGCAGGAGGGAGACAGCAGCCGGTACTTGCTGAGTAGATGGATGAGCCAGATGTGGGCCGTCTGCCAGGCTGCTCTAACAGCCTGACCCATGGGCTGGGTCATTGAGAAACAGATTTCTCACAGTTCTGGACACTAGACCTGTGTTTTCACCCAGTTCAACCTGTGGCTGGAATTGCCCCAAAAGTCGTGGCAGGAGGGTTCCCACAAGGGAGTGCCCCACACCATCCTGAGATGGGGCCAGTTAGGATTCTGCAGAAACACTGAGCACGCCAGGGCGATGTGCTCAGAGCGTTTATTAGGGGAGCTTCCGTACAGAGCAGGCCACAGCAGTTCTTGCCATGGGCGGTGAAATGAATGTTCTCTTTAGCTATATCCACGGGGAGGGGGTTGGAGAATGGAGTTTATGTGAGGGTTTAAGGAAGCTGGCTCGGGCTGGGTCCAGTTTCTTTCTGTTTTGAGAAACAACCTAGATGCTTTCATCTGTGCCTGGGAACGTTCAAGGCTACTGCTCGGGTTCAGTCTGCAGAGGAAAACATACCACCAGCCAGGTCACAGAGCAGCCAAGGGACTTTCTCTGGGAATGAAGTGAAGGGGGAAGCAGGGGGACGCCACAGCGTCCAAAATCAGGGTGCCCAGCATGCTGAAGTTCTGGTGAGGGGTCTCTTCCAGACTGCCGCTTCCTATAGGGTCCAGTCCTACAGGGTCCTTGGAGCCCTCCTCTACTGGTGCAGAGAAAAGAAACTGTGGAAATAAATAAAAGACAAAAGATACTGAGATAGAGAAAAGTCTGGGCCCAGGGGTCCACTGCTAACCAGTATACGTGGAGACCAGCAGTGCCCCCGAGTGGCTTTTATTGTACAAAGCAGGGGGCAGGGTAGGCAGGGTGAGTCACTGGTGGTCAGTGATAGGGTCAAGTAAATCACGTGTCTTGGAGATAGGCGCCCAGAACTTTCAAGTAGCCGAGGCAAGGAGAAAACCTAATGCATAAGCACTTTTTCCATACTTGTCAAGAAAGAACAAAGACATTAAGATTTGTTACTTTTACTAATTCTAATCTAAGAAGAGGAACCAGGTGCAGAAGCAGAACATGAAAGTAGCCATGGAACGTAACCACTGAGGCACAGCATCGCATAGAAACAGTTAAGCCCCTGGATGTCTGCAGGCCTCTCTGACAGCCGCCAGGCCTACCGCAAGAGCTTGCAGGGAGCAGAGTTTTCTCCTAAGTCGTCCGAGGGAGGAGACATGTCAGACGTCTCCTTCCCTAGATGGCTAAACAGCGGGAGCTTTCCCAGCGCTGGCGCTCCCGCACAGCCGAGGTGCCCTCCAGCAGGCCTTACGCGAGTGTGACAGAGGGTTTAGAGCATCTTGCTTTAGGGTCATCTCTTTCACAATGTTACTTCAGTTCCATGCTTCATGACCCGAGAATGATTAGCGAAATTAAAAGGTTATATTGAGTATATATATATATGATTACGTATGCATATGTGATTATGATTATAGGAATAACTGTGACTATATCTCTAATTCTTTTCTAGTTCAATATTTATATGGGAACAGGCTGAGGCTTCAGATCTTTGCCTTGGGACTTGCAGGGTCTCCCATCCACATTTCCGCCGCCTTCACGCAGTGGAAAGCTGCCCAAGCCCCTGGAGTCCCTTTAAGACGGCTCTGCCCTCTTGACCTAGTCACCTCTGAAACACTCCTGAGTTGGAGTGCACATTCAGCTTACCCCAGCGGGGACAGGGCCAGTGCTCTGAGGGCGTCTGGGCAGCTGCTTTTTCATCCACAAGTTCACTGGGTAATCCTCAGAAATTGGACAGATCATTAAGGGCATCCCCTTGTTAGGCTCCCCATAGGGAATCGCTGCTGGCAGTGACCAGATGATGGTGTTAGCTAGGCGTGTCTTGTGTGTTTTCTCTCTTTTCTTTTTTTTAACGAGACAGGGATCTCCTGGGCTCAAGCGATCCTCCCGTAGTCCCTTTGGGATTACAAGCGCGCGCGTGCCCGGCCCATTTTAACCTTTTTTTTGAGACAGAGTGTCGCTCTGTCGCCCAGGCTGGAGTGCAGTGGCGCCAGCTCGGCTCCCTGCAACCTCCACCTCCCGGGTTCAAGTGATTCTCCTGCCTCAGCCTCCTGAGGAGCTGGGATTACAGGTGTGGACCAAAACGCCCGGATAATTTTTGTACTTTTAGTAGAGACGGGATTTCACGGTGTTGGCCAAACTGGTCTGGAACTCCCGACCTCAAGCGATCCGCCCCCCTCGGCCTCTTAAAGTGCTGGGATTCCAGTAGTGAACCACCGCGCCCCGCCCATTTCAATCATTTTTAAACGTCCAGTTCAGAGGCGTTCCCGCGCCGGGCAGGGCCGGTGCAGCAGTGCGCAGGCGCGCGGGGGCGGTGCATTCCGCCAGGGCTCAGAGCGCAGAGTCGGGGCTGTGCGCTGCGCAGGCGCACGTGGCGAAGCTGAGCGGGCTCAGGAGTGACGTCACGGCGCGCGACGCGGAGGCGGGGTCGGCCCGGGATCCGACGGTAGGGGGTAGCCGGTCCGGGGTCGCAGGTCGCAGGCCGCAGGCCACGGTCGCCCCAGCACCATGTTCGGCTCCAGTCGCGGAGGCGTGCGCGGCGGTCAGGATCAGTTCAACTGGGAGGACGTGAAGACTGACAAGCAGCGGGAGAACTACCTGGGTGGGTGGGCGCGGCGGGCGGGCTCCGGGCTCCGGGCTCCGGGCTCCCTGGCGGGCGCTGGGCTCACGTCGCTCATGGCGCCTACGTCCGCAGGCAACTCGCTGATGGCGCCCGTAGGCCGCTGGCAAAAGGGCCGCGACCTCACCTGGTACGCCAAGGGCCGGGCGCCGTGCGCGGGCCCGAGCCGCGAGGAGGAGCTGGCAGCCGTGCGGGAGGCCGAGCGCGAGGCGCTGCTGGCCGCGCTGTGAGTGTCGGCGGGAAGCAGCGGGCGGGGCTTGGGACGGCGCGGCGGGGGCTGCTTGGGGCCGGGGTTGAGGGCTGGGGGCCCGGCTGGGCGGGGGCGGAGCTGCGGGGACTCGTGCGGGCGGGGCCCTCAGGACGAAGGCTGGAGTGGTGAGGACTCGTGCTGGGACGAGGTCCATTACCCTGACGCCTGCCCCGATTCCCTCACAGTGGCTACAAGAACGTGAAGAAGCAGCCCACGGGCCTGAGCAAGGAGGTAACTCCCCGGGGTGGGGGCGCGTGGAGGGCCGTGGGTGTGGGGCCGTCCCGAACGCTCCCTCTGCTCCCCTACCTGCAGGACTTTGCGGAGGTCTGCAAGCGGGAAGGAGGCGACCCCGAGGAGAAGGGCGTGGACCGGCTGCTGGGGCTGGGGAGCACCAGGTGCGGGCCGGTTTCGGGGGGAGGGAGGGTCCGTCTGGGCTCGGTTACTCGGGTGAGGCGGGCCCCTACCGGACTGTCCTGATCGCTGTGTGACTGCAGTGGCTCCGCGGGTCGCGTGGCGCTGTCACGGGAGGACAAGGAGGCCGCCAAACTGGGGCTGTCTGTGTTCACGGTAACCCCTCCTCTCCACCTGATCGCATTGGGGCCCCCAGGGGTGGGACAGGGCAGGGCACGGCATGGCACGGAGCTCCCTGGGGCGCTGCGGGTCGGGGTGTGGGGCCGGCCTGCACACTTCTCCCCAGAGCGCGCTTCGTCCGCAGCACCACCGCGTGGAGAGCGGCGGGCCCGGGACTTCAGCAGCCTCCGGCAGGAGGAAGCCACGAGTGGAGGATCAGACTGAAAACAGGTGAGGCCGCGCCGGGGGATCTCGGGAGGACTGGAGTGGCTCCTACTCAGGCAGGTGGCAGCTTCTTTTCGCGCACCGGCGCTGGCGGTGGCCTGCCCTACTTTCTCCTTGCTGTCCCACTTACTCCTAGGTTTTTCCCCAGGGGAGTTTCTCGGGTCACCCTTGAAGGGAGGTCCTAAGTACTGGCAGTGGTTGGGGGCTGTGCCGTGGGAGGGCGCTCAGGACCTGGGCAGGAGCCTTTTTCTGCGTGGGTGGCACCTCCAGGGCTTTTCCTGGGTGATGAGCCTGGGCCTGTGACCCCAGGAGTGGCCTGGTGGGTGCAGGTAGGAGGAAGGTGTCACCTTGCGAGGGCACAGCTCGGGTGGAGCAGGGCCGTGCAATCGAGATAGGGATATTGCATCTGTCTCAGTGGCCATGTGACTACGTGACTGAGGAGCGGGATTTGCAATCTCATTTAACTGATTTAAAGATGCACTTGTGGGTGGTGGCTTCATCTCCTGGATGGGACCTGCCTGTGCTCACTCTCTTGGCTCACTCTCTGAGGCGCGTTTTGTACCCTCCCAGCTCTGAGAGCCACAGGAAAAGCAAGAAGGAGAAGAAGAAAAAGAAAAAGAAGAAACACAAAAAAGAAAAGAAGAAAGACAGAGACAGGCGACCAGCTGAGGCCACCACCTCTTCCATGTCTCCCGAGAGGTATGCCCTGGCCCATGTCTTGGGGGTAGGGGTTTGGCTGACCCCTGCCTCTGAGTGACTGCCCTTGGTCTCCCCAGGCCCAGGTACTGCCACCATGACTCTGACTCCGACTCCCCCTGCTGCAAGAGGAGGAAGCGAGGACACAGTGGGGGCAGGAGCCCATCTTGCAGGCGGCATGACAGACTCTGAGGCCTGATAGTTGGACCCTGCTCACTGCTACTGTGGGACCTGGAACTCTCCCTTCACCTTGCTTGCCTCCTGCCTCAGGAAAGCCCCTCGTGTGGGTGAGACCTGAGGCTGCTCCTATGGAGTGGCTCTGGGCACCAGCCTGTGGGGTAAAGGCTGCACAGCTAGCTCTGGAGCGCAGCCAGCTTCCTGGAAGACCTCCGGGTTTCGCACAGCAGGGATGGCCCCTGGCTTGCCCTGCGGTGAGCCTGCGCACAGGTACCTGTAGAGGCTGGACTCCCTGTGTCCTGCTCGTGGCTGCAGCAGCCATGGGCCTATGAGCAATCTACCTGTGGCCAAGTACGGTGACCTCTATTTTTCCTTACATTGACTCTTTATATTTCAATAAATATATTTTAAAAGAAAGGTGTATCATCCTAATTGGAAGGTCAGTGTCAGGAGTTAACAAGATCCCACTGGGAGGATGGAGCTGCACCCTAATGCTTCATAATGTCCAAGAATGCAGTCCTCTCATGGGTGCCCAAAGCCCCACCCATACCCAGGGAGGGCCGAGGCCCTGGAAGGGGGTGCTCAGCTGGCAATGTGGGGACCTGGGATGGACGAGCCCTGTCCTTGGACAAGTGAGGTCAAGGACTGCAGAGTCTGGAGAGGTAGCCTCAGTTGGATGAGGTTTGGGGACTCCACCTGCCTGCTGAGACCCGGCTGCCTCAACCCTCAGCTCTGCTTCTTCTGGGGCAGTGTGCTGGATGTCTCGTTTGCCTGACCCCGAGAAGAATCAGGGCTGTTCAGGACATGTGTGGGCACCTGGGCTGGATCATGGCTCACTGCAGTCTCAGAGTGTTCTGATCAGGCGAGCTCCCTCGCCTGGCCTGTTTCTAAGTTCAAAAGAAATTAAGCAGAATTTTCTCAGGGCCCTGGCCGAGGTGTGGCTCCTGTGGCTTTGACCTCTGCCCTCGCCCTCACACGGCCACTGGAGTGGAGATGGCGCTATCTATCTTGGGTGCTGTCAAGGGGGATGAAGGTCGGGCCACCTGGCCAGGACAACCTCACCTTTTGGGACTCTGCCCAACAGAAGGCAGACCTTGGACCTGCTGATGGCTATACCCCATAGGTGTAACCCCAGACTGGCAGCCCTCTGCTTCATGACATTTTGAGGAGAGGTGGGGGCTGTGCCCACTCAGGCAGGGACCATTCCCTGGCTGGCACAAAGCACCATGTATGCTGGCAGTGGCCCTGCCACACAGCCAGCAGGCTGATGGAGGGAGGGAGGCTGAGGTCTCACATGGTGCCTGCTGACTCCTGTCCTGTATGGCCCAGGTCTCACTGGCTGGGCCCAATAGGACTGCAAGCAGAGACCAGCAAGGTTACTGTGGGCAATCATGGTGGAAGAGCCTCTCACACAGACACAGGGAAGTTCCTGCATACTCAGGAGGGGTAATAGGGAGGGTGTGGACTCACGTGGCGGCCCTAGGCAGTCACCTGTACTTCCTAAAGCTGGCTGCTCCACCCACCATCTCCTGGGCACAGTCTGCCTGTGCAGAAGCACTGGAGAGCCGGTGAAATAGTTAAGAGATTTTATTCTAATAGCTATAATTACAGTGCTTGTTTGTCGAAATGAAAACTGAAAACAAGTATACAAAACAGTTGATTACTAATCGTGTATTGAAAGCAGTAAGAGGTTCCACGACACCAAATAGACCAGTTCTGAGGTTTCCCCAAGATAAATTTAACAGCTCCAGCTTCTTCAGTGTTTATCAAAATACAAAAGAAAAAAGTAGAGGTTGTCTTTTTCGATGGCAAATCGGACCCTTGCAGGCTGAGGGAAAGAAAGCTACGTCACACACAGAGGTGGGGTGCTCCCGAGGGGCTGTGGGTCTAGGTGGACCGCCTGCCCGGCTTGCACGCGCTCCTGCTGGTGAGGCCCCAGACATCCTGCCAAAGTGTCTGAGTGAGCACGAGTATTGGGGACGACGGACTCACTCTGGCCACATGCTGACCGAGGGACAGGTGGGGGCCCTGTCTCCCACAGGCTGCCTGAAGGTGGCTGTAGCGGCCTGTGGGAGAGTGGGGTGGCTGTGGGCTCCCAGCCTGGCCCCTGGGAACCATGGGGGCACAGGGACAAGCACATGGCTATGGAATGCAGGGTGACCCAAGGACAAGCAAGTTGCGGGGATCTCTATTGTGACCATGCAGAATTGATCGCGGTCTGCTGCCCCGCCGCCTCACGTTCCCAAGGGGAACAGCCGGGCTGGCGACTGGCATCCAGGCCGTAAATCTATGCTAGGCAGGGTCTCCCTTCTGTGTGTTCAAGTGTTCTCGACTTGGATTTTTAACTATTTAAAAAAATGCACTGAGTTTGGGTTAAAAACCAACCACCAAAATGGATTTCAACACAGCTCTAAAGCCAAGAGCATGCCTGGCTTTCCCAACACAGCGACTCCTGGAGGCCAGGTGCCCACAGGCCTACATCCCCTCTCAGCACTGAACAGTGAGTTGATTTTTCTTTTTACAATAAAAAAAGCTGAGTAATATTGCATAGGAGTACCAGAAACTGCCTCATTGGAAACAAAAACTATTTACATTAAATAAAAAGCCTGGCCGCAGGCTGCGTCTGCCACATTTACAGCACGGTGCGATGCACACGGTGACCAAACCACAGAGGCAGCTTCTGGCACTCACACCACGAGCCGCACGTTTGCCACATGAGAGTAAAGCAGAGGGTGAGAGGAGTGAGAGGGAGGGGGGTCGCATTCACTTCTGGTTCCGGAGCTGATTGGACAGCCAGTCCAGTCCTTCATAGAGCCCGTCGCCGCTGGTGGCGCAGGTGGCCTGAATGTACCAGTTCCTGTGGCGTAGGGAGTGCAGCCCCAGCTTGTCTGTGATCTCGGCCGCATTCATGGCGTTGGGGAGGTCCTAAGGGAAGGAAGGGTTGGTGGGAAGGGATGTCCCTGGGACACAGAAAGGCGCCCCACCAGCCTCCAGCAGCAACCCCTACCACCAGATGCCCTGGAGGAACCCACGCTGGCTCCTCACATTCCCCAGGCTGGCCCGGGCACCTACCTGCTTGTTGGCGAACACCAGGAGGACAGCATCCCGGAGCTCATCCTCAGCCAGCATCCTCATGAGCTCCTCACGGGCCTCATTCACGCGCTCTCTGTCATTGCTGTCCACCACGAAGATCAGGCCTGCAGAGCAGCCAGTGTTAACGGTCAAGGGAACACAGCCCCCCTGCTGCATCTATGGGCTGGCCGCCCTCTCTAGAAGTAGGAGGACCCATGGGACCAGGCCCCAGCCACTCACCTTGTGTGTTCTGGAAATAGTGGCGCCACAGAGGCCGGATCTTGTCCTGGCCACCCACGTCCCACACAGTGAAGCTGATATTCTTGTACTCCACGGTTTCCACATTGAAGCCTGCGGGCGGGATGCAGGGTGAGGCTCTGTACCTCGGCCCAGCCCACCCCAGCCCACTCCCTGCTGGCCACTGCCTCACCTATGGTAGGAATGGTGGTCACGATCTCACCCAGCTTTAGCTTGTACAGGATCGTGGTCTTCCCCGCGGCATCCAGGCCTACCATGAGGATGCGCATTTCCTTTTTGCCAAAAAGGCCCTTGAAGAGGTTGGCGAAGATGTTCCCCATGCTTGTGGACAGGTGGAAGGACACTGGCCAGGGACACCTGGAGAGACAAGGTGCTCCATGTCTGGTTCTGTGCTGTCCGGCAGCAGCTGCTCAGAGTCCATTCACCCAGGGACGCACCACTGCCTCACCCCACCTCCTGGAAGCTTGCAGGGAAACAGGGAAAGAGCCCTGCCTCCCAAGCCTCAGAAATCCACCTGAGGATGGGTGCTGAGGGAAAATGGCTGAGTCAGGAATTGAGAAGCTGTTGCCCTGATCTTGGGAAGCCATCCCCAAGGCTGCATGGCCAGAAAGGCTGCCTCATCCAAGCCTATGCAGGAGGGGAGGCTGGCTACCTGAGGACTGGCTTCCAGGTGCATGCAAGGCTGCTCTACACCCCAACACAGAACCTTCCAGGACTAGACAGCACCACTCACTGTGCCTCCCCACACTCAGAAGGATCAGAGCACAAAGGGCCAGGCAAGGCACAGGACACCCTCAGGGCAACAGTCCCACTGAGGACACAGCCTGGATGGGGCATGCACGCCATGTCTGCCCCACATGGCAATGATAGGAGTTCCCTCAGAACACAAACACCAGGGACAGCAATCACGTTGGTTGGCATCCACCATCAGAGCTCTGCGGACTCCAGCAGGAAGGGCCTCCACTGCCTGGATGCCTCTGTGAGGACACTGAAGCTGCTGGGCCTTGGCCTCACCGCCCAGTGGGCCCTTTCATGAATCAGGTGTTTTTATGCCAGAGACTTTAGAAAAAAAACTGGTCACTCTCTGAAACACTGGCTGTCTCTTCAGTGCACCCACAGGGGGCTTATCCCCAGTGAGGAAGGCTTCTGCCTTCCAGAGAACATGCCAGGAGCCTGTGACCACACCCACCCCTCATCAGACCTCCTCCACCAGGGTTCCACATGCAGGAGGCTCTTGGCTGAATCACAGCCATGACTGTCTGCTGGTGACTTACTTTACCATCCACTCACCCCAGCACCCTACTGCAAGGTAACACCTCTTCTCCATTTCTCAACATCGGTGAGAGCCCACACATGCCTGTGTGGTTCAGTGGGTGTGAACTGGCCATCTATTTCTGATTTGACATTGCCATCATCCCAGATGACCCGCAGAACCCCTTCAAGCTGGATTAGTGTCCTTTGGACAATTTGTTCTTGGTTTTGAACCATGTCACCTATTCTGAAACTTAAAACGAATTCTGAAATTTCTAAGGACCTTCACAGTAGTGTGTTCCCTTTTCAGGGACAGCCAGGTTTTCTAGGCCCAGAAGAAGACCACCACCCATGAAGCACGGAAGAGACTGAAAACACGGCCTCTCAGTCCACTCCTGCAACCACTGCCAGTAAAGACACCAAAATCACCCATAAGCCTTGAAGGACAGAGAGAAAAGGGAGGAAGACCTTGAGCCTGATGACTGACCAGGCAGAGAAAGCTGGACCACCTGGGACCCAAGGGATGAAGCTGGGACTGTCTAGGGCAGGTATGTCCAATCTTGGCTACCCTGGGCCACAATGAAATAATTGTCTTGGGTCACACACAAAAAATATACTAACATAACAGCTGATGAACCGAACCAAACCAAACCAAACAAAACCCCCAAAATCTCCATGTTTTAAGAAAGTTTACAAATTTGTGTTGGGTCAGGTTCAAAGCTGTCCTGGGCCACATGCAGCCCAAGGGATGGACAGGCTTGGTCCAGGGGAGCAGCTGCACTGAGCCTGTGCTGAGTGCAGCTGCACTAGGCCTGTGCTGAGCCGTGACAACACATTTAAGCCATGAGATTCCAGAACAATTCCTGAGACTTCTATATGCCCCAGCAGATCCACACACAAGCAACTGGAGGCCCTCCAAAGAGACAGGGTTGTCTGCCTCTGAAAGGCCTCCAACATAAGAGACCCAAATGTAATGGAATCTAGAGGAGATAAGCAAGAGAGGAGACTGAAGAAAGAAGACTATTTTAACAAAGGAAAAGGAGAGAGAGATAGACCTGATAGATACACAAATAGCTGAAAAGGAAAATTCCAAATGAAGGTGCTCAGAAGGCAGAACAACAACAAAATAAGTAAAAAAGGAAAATAAGAAGTAACTTAAGATATCAACTAACAGAAACTCTAAAAAGAAAGAACATAGGAAATTACGGGGTGAAATTCTTCAGTGTTCCAGAGCAGGGGCCCAAGAATCTTTAGCCTGAAAGGGCCGAAGGGAAAAGCCAAGGACCTAAATGAGACCCACTGTAGGTGTACCATGGATTCCAGAATGCCCAGTGGCAAATGACACCCTCGAAGCCCCAGAAAATGGAAGACTCTGAAACAGTGCTTTCTAAACCCTGAGAACATGACCTTTAATTCTATACCCAGCCAAAGTATCCAACAAGTCTCAAGGGAGAATGAAGATAACTCTCAAACTGCAGGGCCTCAGACCTCTCACGTGCTCCCTCCCCAAGAGGCTCCCCCAGGAATCCAGAGGGAGGATGTGAGCTCACAGCAACGTGGAGAGAGAGCAGCAGTCTAGCCAACCCCCTCAGACTGGAGCAGGAAGTGGACCCCTGCAAGAATGGGACATGCCACCTACATATTATGGGGTTGGGCAACTCTGGGCAATGGGGAAAAACTAATGACAGGTTCGTAGGAAAAACCCCAAACATGAAACAGAACGAAAAAAGGGCCTTTTATGAGTTACTCCAGGAAAACATATGGTGGGCAATATTCAGGGAGTTCTGATGCTGTGTTATTACTGGGGTGCTGGAAAGCTGAGGCAAGGGCATGTGGTGTCAAAGCCCAAACAACACTGCACAAGTTAACAAGTCTAGAAGGAATAAATCTAGGAAACCATGTCAGCAGGGACTCAGGGTCACCTGCCAGTTGGGCAGGGGCAGCACCAGACTGCCATAGCCACTGAAGCATGGCATTGGGGAGAATTGACACCAACACCCAGGCACTTAGGGGAAGGGGCACCCCACTACCACCAGCCCCCTCGACCCCAGGACTGTTCATGATCCACACATGCCTGCTGCCAACCATGCACAGACGACCATGCAGCCTGCAGGCAGCAGGGCTTGTGATGACAGTAGTCCCGGCCCCTCCACATGGTGACTTTTATTTTTTATTAACAGACCAAAGCGTTCGAGTCCCCAGAGGGAAACAGCCCTGCAATGGAATGGCGGAACCAGAAAGGGCAAGCCCTAAGTCTCAGGTGTCAGACAACAGCACACAGCTTGGTCTCTCCCACCCACAAACACATCTGCGGCCCTGCTGAACACATGGGCAGAGGGTGGCTGGCACATCCTGCCTCGGCATACACCAGCATCCCCACAGGACCCTGGACCTGGCAGCCCCTGCACCATTTACTGCTTCTGTGACAGGTCAAGACCCAACAGAGAATCTGCAGTGGGGGAAAGGTTCCAGAGCAACCCCCGCCCTCAATTCCAAGGCCCCTTGGAACAGGTCCTAACTTGTGTCATGCCCAGGCCAGTGCTGTCAACCTTTCCTCCACCAGAGTCCCCGAATACAAGCCAAAACCCGCTTTTCAGGTCCATCGGAATTATCCTGTGGTAGGGACAAACCCTGGCTTTCTCAGAGCCTTCCTGCTTGTACACGTGACCCCTTCACACTGTAAGAACAGGGCCACCCAGCAGGAGGACGCCAGGAGCCGCCAGTAGCTACTTCTCTTTCCTAACCATGCTGTGGGCTTCAACTTTGAGGAAGAAAGGTTTTTTTTAGGAAGAATGTTTCTTTCTTCAGTGAGGACCAGAGACCAATGGTAAAAGTGGCCTTCAGGCATTACACCAGGAAACAGGACAGTCAACTCTGGCAGCTACAGTCCGACACCTACTGTGCCTACTGAACAGGGGTGGGGAGAAAATATAGCTCTGCGAGTTCACATCCATTTTGTGTCTATGAATGGATCCAACCAAACTGGTTCAGATGCACAGGGGAGCCAGTGCCTCTGTGGCCTGCACTCGGACCTCCAGCCAGTACTGTCCCCGGTCCCTTACAGGCCCCAGGGATGCTTTGACATTGAGTCAGGGAAAGGAACAAGGCAAAGGCTGATCATTTCCCCCCAACCTGTCAGAGTTGGTGTATATAACAGAATCTCTAAGTGACCTGAACTGACAGGAACCAACGGAAAGACAGACACCTCCAACCTCCAGGGCAAACAAGCTCCAGGTGGTCCCAGATTCTGTTTTGCTGACTGACGTCTACAAATAGGACTCATACAATGTGCTCTGCTTATGTGGAAAGCCAGTGACATCCAGAGTTCCCTTTTTGAGACAGGGCCTCACTGTCACCCAGGCTGGAATTCAGTGGTGTGATCACAGCCCACTGTAGCCTTGAGTTCCTGGGCTCAAGTGTTCCTCCCACCTCTGCCTCCCAAGTAGCAGGGACTGCAGGTGCATGCCACCACAGCTGGCTGATTTGTAATATTTTCTATAGACACAGGGTCTTGCTATCTTGCCCAGGCTGGTTTTGAACTCTTGGGCCCCAGTGATCCTCCTGCCCTGACCTCCACAGTAGTTGGGAATACGGGTGTGGGCCAATGCACCCCACCTAGTGTTCTTTTTAAAAAAGCTTTTATTGCCGGGCACGGTGGCTCATGCCTTTAATCACAGCACTTTGGGATGCTGAGGCAGGCAGATCATGAGGTTAGGAGTTCAAGACCAGCCTGACCAACATGGTGAAACTCCATCTCTACAAAATACAAAAATTACCCAGGCGTAGTGGTGCACACCCGTAATCCCAGCTACTCAGGAGGCTGAGGCAGGAGAATTGCTTGAACAGGGGAGGCAGAGGCTGCAGTGAGCCGAGATTGCCCCCACTGCACTCCAGTCTGAGTGACAAAGCAAGGCTCCAACTCAAAAAAAAATCTTTTATAAAGATACATAAAAATTACACACATCTTTATAATTACACATATGAATTACACACAGCTTTATAGTTAATAATCTCAATTTTACTATCTAACCTGAGGAAATTTAACAAAGCTGATGACTTCCCAAAGGGACTCATGTACATTACCTAACATTTTAAGGATTTCTGAA